CTATTGCTACTACTACGCGTTTCTCGAGAGGTAAAGTTTGAAAACGAGTACGATGAAAAGTACTTAAGAGTATTGTATATATATATATATATATATGCTACTTTCGTATATGTATATTAATACTTAGGTGTACATACATGCATACATATATACGTACATACATACATACATACATACATACATTATATACATGGGAGGACGAAGAGAGACGGAAGGTCGTTCGTTCGTTAATTCGTCGTTCGAGATCGTCGATTCGTGTCATACGTCTTCTTTTGTCTATCGTTCTTGCAATAAGTATAGAGAAAAATAAAAAAAAAAAAAAAAGGAAAAAGGAAAGAAGAGAAAAAAAAAAAAAAGAACAAAAAAGGAAAAGAAATAATGGAAAAGAGAAAAAAAGCAAAAGAAAAAGAAAAAAAAAAAGAAAAAGTACACAAGGACACACGCTCCGTTGGTCAGGCAGGCAGGGAGGGGTAGGGTAATAAATGTGGGGGTTGCTGCTGCATGAGGTGCATTGTTGTGTTTCAGTGCTCGCCTCTATGCCGCCGGGGCTGACCTTCAACTCTCTGAACACCCAGTCGGCGAAGAAGCTGTTCACCTGCCAGCTGTGCGGCAAGGTGCTGTGCAGCAAGGCATCCCTGAAACGCCACGTCGCCGACAAGCACGCCGAGCGGCAGGAGGAGTTTAGATGCGTCATCTGCGAGCGAATCTACTGTTCGCGTAACTCCCTGATGACCCATATCTATACCTATCATAAGAGCAAACCCGGCGAAATTGACATTAAGCTCTTTTGAAGGTTTAGATAAGGTAGGGACACGCACGTGCGTTATTGATTCTCTCAAAACTCACACGATCTCTCTCTCTCTCTCTCTCTCTCTCTCTCTTTTTCTCTCTTTCTTTTTCTCTCTCTTTATCTATTTTTTTCTTTTTTTTTTTTATAAACACACACTTACACATATACACGCTCACGCGTATCTCGCACATATACATTCACCCACGTTATATTTATTATACACACTTTTTTTTCTTTCCTCCTTTCTATCTCTTTTTATATATATATATATTTTTCTCTCTTTCTCTTTCTCTCTATTTTATTTTATTTTTTTTCTTTCTTTCTTCACTCCGACACTTTTTGGACTTGCTGTCTTCTTTTTTCCTCTTATTTGCTAGGAGGGAAAGTATAAAAAAAAAAAAAAAAAAAAAAAAAAAAAAAAAAAAAAAAAAAAAAAAAAAAAAAAAAAGAAAGAAAAAGAAATATGGTAGACATTCTCGATTTGATACGACCTCGGCTCGCGCGTTCGTCGTTCCTTTTCACTGATTCGAACTCTCTTTACCAGGAAGTGCATGCCGGAGAGAAACCGGTCTCTCAACTCCCACGTGGCGCGAACACATCGTCTTCTCTCTTCCACTCCTCTCTCTCTTTCTCTCTCTTACTCTTTATCAGTGCAACCTCTTTTCTCTGAACGATCCGTTCCTCATCTTCTAACAACCTTCTCCTTTTCCGTTCTTCTTCTTCTTCTTCCTCTTCTTCTTCTTTTTGTCTGTCCTTCGTCCACCACTCGGTCTCCTTACAAACCGACACGATTCGATTATCTCTATCTCTTTTTCTCTCTTTCCTCCTCCACTTCTTTTTCTTTTTCTTCTTCTTTTCTCATTCTGGTATTACCAGGCCCCGTTATAATATCCCCCTCTTTCTCGGTGACACGAGAAACGTCGTCAGCAACATCGTTCGTCTCTTTTCCTTGGAGTGAACGTAGGTGAAGAAGAAGAAGAAGAAGGAGGAGGAGGAGGAGGAGGAGGAGGAGAAGGAGGAGGAGAAGAAGAAGAAGGTGGAACCGAACGAAATCGGCCAAGGAAAAAGTCGTTAATAAATCTCAACACAACGTTCAAAGACGTACCACAGCTAAACACTGTGTGTTTCGTGACTTCTTCCGAAATTCTTTTTTTTTTTTTAGCCCACCTTCACAAAATATAATATAAAAGTGGTCTTCCTTCGCTTTGTATTTCCAACTAACAGAGCCCTGCCTTCCCATTCCTTCGCTCTTGTTCACTTACTCTCTCTCTTTTTCTCTCTCTCTCTCTCTCTCTCTTTTTGTTTTCTTATTATCTCTTTTGTTACTTTTAATGTCTTGTGTCTCGAAACCCGTTTACTCGTCCGTTACTTTTCTCTTACTACTTGTGGCTTCGATGTGTCTGCGCTTTCGATATCTTATATATATTTTTTTTTTTTTCACTTTTTACCATTCTCCTTTTACTTTATTTTATTTTAATCGTTTTATTTTCTCTTTTCACAGCAAAGGTCCTTCGTGTTGGGCTTTTTTCGATGTCTCCTTCGATGTCGTTTGCATGCACTAAATATTATTATTATTATTATTATATATTTTATTTCCTTCAAACAATGAAATTCGTGCGATCCTATAAGTGATCGTCAAATAATTTTTCTGTGAGATGATTCGAGACACGTCTTAAATATTTCTCGTGGCTTTAAGACACGTCTGTTTTATTTCTTCTTTCTTTTTTTGCTTAAAAAATATTCACAGGACGAAGGAATCGTTCAATTGGTTTTTCTTTTAAATTTTTTGCATGACTTCATCATCATGTGGTGTTACCTATTATAACAATTCTGTAATGCTTCTCTCATAATCGTATTCAAATTTGTCTCACGACTTATATTTTTTTTTTTTTAAATGTTCTCTTTAGCTGCGTCATTTTCACGAGGTATCAGCTTTTTTGTTTGTTTATTTATTTATTTATTTTTTTTATTTGACACAATATCGAGCTTAAAATATCTTCGAGTTATTTCGACTCATTCATCCGTCACGAATAATTCAATATTTCATTAAATATATATATATATCTATTTATATATTAACCTAAATACAATACGAAGCTCTCATAAGGGAAGAATCTAGCTTATCGCATGGTGGTTTTGGCCCTTAACTTTTATCACGCTCGACTAATAACGAGACACACACACACACACCCACATACAATTAATTACATTTTCGGTGGCTCGGTCAATTAACCTCGAGAATCATGCGGATACAGGAGCCGAGGTGGTCATTTCGAGATGGTTCTTATCAACCAATTACTAAATGGAATATATATATTCGAATTCTATCGAACGTTCGAGAGTTATCCTGTCTTCCCTAATTTTTCTCTTTCTCTGTCTCTTTTTTCTTCTCGTTGGTCAATTCGCCGAACGTTCGGTAGAAAACGGATCTTGCAGGGAATAATTAGAAAAAATAAACAAACAAAATTAAATAAAATAATAATAATAAAGAAATGCATTTTCCCCCTGGTCCTTTTAGATAAAGAGAGATGAAATTACAAAGAGAAAAAAGAAAAGAAAAAAAAAAAAAAAAAAGATGTTTCATCTATTGATTTTTGATGGCAATCATTTAAACGATGACGGACGATTTTGCAGGTACGGGCAATGGGATGCATCCGGCAGCAACGACGCCTCCCTCTGCCATGTACCGGATACCACCGCCGACAGCGGGGGGTATCAATGAGCCTCAGGAATGCCCGTACTGCCGTCGCACCTTCTCCTGCTACTACTCCCTGAAGCGACACTTTCAAGACAAACATGAGCAGACGGACACGCTATTCGTCTGCGAGTTCTGCAATCGTCGATATCGCACGAAGAATTCACTTACGACGCACAAGAGTCTTCAGCATCGCGGCTCGAGCGGCATGCTGAAGAGGCTCCTCAAGACATCGGCCATGAAGAACGTTTTAGGTAGCATGCAACAGGCTCAACAATTGCAGCAACAGCCACAATGAAAATGGCCGAACATAGTTGATCATCAGCAGCAACAGCAGCAAGCTCCTGTCTCATGCCGGTTCCTTTCACCTAATCTTGATCATTCTCCTCCTCTTCCTCCTCCTCCTCCTCCCCCTGATCATAATTTTTCTTATCCTTTATCTCATTCTATTCTCTTACCTCCTCAAACTCTTTCATCTAATCGTTATCATCGTCAACATCATCACTATCATCAATATCATCATAATCACTATCGTCATCATCCTCATCACCGTTATCATCGTCATCGACAGAGTGCCGTACCTCTTACGAGATCGATTATCTTACCTCCGAGCCCTTTAACATTCTCTTCTCAAAATTTTCTCCATCCTGAAGACTGCGACCGATCCAAAGAAGAACGAAGAATCGACTGATGAAAAGTATAAAAAACAAACAAACGAAGAAGATAAATTATGTTGGAGTCTACACCACACACCACCCGTCTGCTCTTTGTGTTCTTCGCGCGAATTTGATTACAAATATCTTTTTTTTTTGTCATTTTTAATTATTCTCCTATTTTTTTTTTGGTTCTTTTGTAATCGACAAGGAAAGACAAGGAAGTAAGGAAGAAAGAAAGAGAAAAAGAGAAAGAGAAACAGAGGAGGACACCTTAGGCAGATCTCGTGTGAGAACGATTGAAACATTCCAACGGCAAGAAAGGCAGGCAGGCAAGCAAGCAAGCAAGCAGGCAAGCAAGCAAGCAAGCAGGCAAGCAGGCCGGTGGTAAGAGATCAGTGTTGTTGATCTCAAAGGCACGTGCTCGAGTATCAACCCTCTCCTTTCGTTCGTGTTCCGAACGTTCCTCTTTTCGTAGACAACAGGTTATTATTCGTCGTTGCGTTGGAATGATCTTTCGAAAGGAGAGGGCATTAAGTGAGAGCGAGAGAGAGAGAGAGAGAGAGAATGAGAATGAGAATGAAAATGAAAATGAGAATGAGAGTGAGAGAAAGAGTGAGAAAAGTAAGAAAGTGAATATAAGAAAGATAAGTAATAAAAGAGAGACGGAGACCGTATGATGTTGTATATAAAATGATAAAATATGCGCAATGCTCAACAAAAGGAAGTCTCGCGTCTTCGACTCTCGCGAAAGGATACATAGATAAGAGGAAATATAAAAAAAGGAAGCTCGTGTATTATTATGTCTAAATGTGTAGATATATGGTATAGAAGTGTGTATGTACACGCGTGTACAAGTGTAATAAGGTAAACAAAACGCATTATTAAAACAACGTATAGATTGAAAGCCGTGAGAAGTCGCGCCTTGGCAAAGGGATCGCTAAGATCTTACGGCCTAAAACGAAAGGATTCGATTATCGATGTGTGGTCTATTAGAGACACAATCGTAATATCGAATTTGCAGAAAAAATTGGCGGGTGGGTTTAAGAGGGAATTGATGGAAAAGAATATGGGAGAATGAACGTGAACCATGATGGATGGGGGGGGGGCTTGCTTCAGAAAATAATAAGTAGCAGGAGGAAACTTGTCAAGTAATATGGGCTTTTAAACAAAAAAGAAAAAGAAAAAAAAAGAAAAAAAGAAAAAGAAAGAACAACGCGTGTACAGGTCCGTCGCGCGTGCAAATTACAGACTATATTTTTAGCTCTTTAAAAATGATATTTTGAGCTGTATATATATTCATACACACACACGCACACAAAACACACACACACACATACACACATACACATATTATATTCGTACGGTAATATTGATAACGATAATATTATTCTCTTGTTCAGGTTTTATAAAAACGAAGTAGTTTGACTTAAGACAGATCGCTGGCAGGTAGGCAGGCAAGCAGACTAATAGGCAGGTAAAAGCAGGGCAGTGACGCTCTCGCGTTTTCCGATTCTCTGTTTTATTATCACTCGATATCTTATCGTTGAGATTTTTTTTTTTTTATTGGCGAATGTGCAATATTACGCGTAACAATCGCGTTAGAATCCGTCTCTCAGAGATATTCAAACGACGCGAATATAATATTTCGAACGGACGCGGAAAGAAAATAATTGACTTGTTGTTTCATTCGTTCTTTCTTTCCTTCCTTCCTTCCTTCCTTCCTTCCTTCCTTTCTTCCTTCTATCTTCGTCGTGTTTCGTTACTCGATCGTGAATTACCTGAATTATTATACGATCTTCTTCGATAAGTCCGAAGAAGTTTATTTGGAATGTTATAAAACCGGGCGGAAGTGGTACGATACTCGATGGAAAGTCAAGTGCGAGACAATCAAACACTGCCCTGTTGTTAAAATCTTTAATACATCCATACTAACGAACGTACAAGTTAAAAAGAAACCCTAAAAGTTGTTCATCGCAACATATTCAGGTCTGACACTCAGCATAGGAAGAATAAAAATAATAAAAAAGAAAAGAATTGATGTTTTTAGCATAAGAGAGAAATAAAAAAGAAAAAGAAAAAAAAGTAAATAAAAAAAAAAAAAAATAAAAATAAAAGGAAATGCCATTATGACTAACGAGCAAGTACAAATTATCGAGGAAAAAAAATAAAAAATTTAAGAGAAATTACGTCTACGTGTATCATAGGTTTCGTAGCAACGGGGACAAGTGACGAGATGATGGTGAAAATAGGTAGAATAGTTTCGTCTTCTCGAGTTTATTGACGATTGCACAAGAGCAAATTTTACGAGGAAGAACGAATTTTTCAAACATATCTCTTTGAAACGTGAAGTATACCGTGGATATATACGACTTTAGATTTTAGGCGACTCTTCAGAGCGATTTTTAAACAAATTTGGTGTATACATTTTAGAGATAAAATCTCCTTAGTGCATGGTCAAAGCATAATGTGGATAAAAGCTGTGGGTGAAAGGCTTAAACGTCGTATTTTTTTATTAAATTTATTTTTCTTTTCTTTTTTTAATTTTTTTTTTTTGTTCTTTTCTTTTTAAAAATATATATATATATATATACATATATATATTTTAATATTATTTTACTTCTTTTCTCTTTTCGGAGGAAAATATGAAAAAAAAAAAAAAGAAAACGCATAAAAGAAAGGCCAATTTCGAACTCGAACTTGAGATAAAAGAAGCACGAAATTTATTAGTGAAAATGAACCTAGTCATTCTGGGAACTCTTGAGATTCTGTGATATCGGAGGAAGATGAAAATCGATTTTAATTATCATTGCATGGTAAAAACGTTAAAAAAAAAAAAAAAAAAAAAAAAAAA